TGCTAACTTTTTGTATGAAGTTTACTGCATCGTTACATTAAAAAAAAGACCCCGATATTCCTTTGCGAGTCCTTTTATAACCTCTGGAAAGGCGGAGCTTCCAAGAAATGATGTCAGCCATTCCAGTTCTCTTTAAATATCTCCGGAACATTCTATACCTGTACGTGTAGAAAAGACGGGAAAAACAACTTGACTACGGGGCTGTGGATCCAATTCCACGTACTCTCAAATAAGAGACCGTCGCCATTAAAATTAAAAGAACACACAGTTAGAACCCTAAGTGGACTATGGAATTTTATTATTACATATATATATATATATTTTACATTTTAATGCATTTGATTAAAACTGAGTAATTTAGAAATGCTTTTATATGTTTTCTTTATGTTTCCAATTATAATAACGTATTACTTAGAGCAAACTGAGTTGTTTTGCGTTGGAGAAGAATGTCTAAAATTGAAGTCTTGAGTGATATTAGTCTAAAATTGAATAAATTTAATAAAACATTCATCTAATTGTTATATCGCTTTTCCTGTGGTATAGAAAGAGAAATTAAGTTGCATTTATTAAACAATGTATTTTATTTCCATTTTAGTTCTCTTTAAATATCTTCAGAACATTCTATAACTGTACGTGTAGAAAAAGCGGGAAAAACAACTTGACTACGGGGCTGTAGATCCCATTCCACGTACTTTCAAATAAGAGACCGTCGCCATTAAAAATGAAAAGAACACACAGTTAGAACCCTAAGTGTATTTTTAACTATGGAATTTTATTATTACATATATATATTTACATTTTAATGCATTCGATTAAAACTGAGTAATTTAGAAATGCTTTTATATGTTTTCTTTATGTTTCCAATTATAATAACGTATTACTTAGAGCAAACTGAGTTGTTTTGCGTTGGAGAAGAATGTCTAAAATTGAAGTCTTAAGTGATATTAGTCTAAAATTGAATAAATTTAATAAAACATTCATCTAATTGTTATATCGCTTTTCCTGTGGTATAGAAAGAGAAATTAAGTTGCATTTATTAGATAATGTAGTTTATATGTTTAACGTATATTTATCAGGTACTGTGATTTCAATATTTTAAATCTCTTCATTTTGATTTCCTGAAGAATTCTCGACACGAGTATCCAACTACAAAGGCCTCGCAATGTTCCTCAAGTGGATACTTTAACTTGCGGTGACAAGACGCAGACAATAAATGCCCACAAGGGGGCCATCACTGAACGTTGTTGTCGCTTTTCTTTCCCAACTAGTGAAGAATTCGTAAACAGGAAATGGTTGTTTTCTGTTCACTAGCGTTAAATTAACAAAAGTTAACTCTTCTACTTTGAGAAATCCCAAATGTAACTTTTTATAACTGTAGTATTCTCGTTACTTTGTAGAAAAAAACTGTTAACTGATCAAAATTTTGAGCCTTTTTTCGACAGTGCGAAGTTTCTGTAAAATATTCTAGCTATTTTCGAGCTCAGTTTCAGAAATTTTACGTTATATTTTTTATGACTGCCTGTATTTTAAATGCATGGTTCTTAAATCAGAAAATATCAAATTCTGCGTGGTATCTTTTGTCTCGTAACAATAAATTTCTATTAATGTTACCTAGATTCAGTTAAGAAAAATGACCGCCATTGAATTTAATTTCATTATTTATGAAAACGCATTTAATTTCATCATTTATCATTCATGCGAATACATAAATTTCTTGCGAATACTTGCGAATACATAAATTTCTTTATTGTTACGAGGTAAAATTAAAGATTTTTTGCTTCACTAAAAGGCATCAATACTGCCTTTTGGCGAAGCAAAAGATCTTTAATTTCTTTTTTCAGTTTAATCAGTCTGCAATAAATGAAAAACTGAGCAATTTAAAAGCAATAAACGTGTTTTTTAGTAACTAAAATCTTTATTTTCAAAAAATATTCCATATGGATAAAATTTATACGTAGCAAATAATCTTTATAGTTATTTGCAGGGTTATTGTCATTAAAAAATTTGCATCTGATTTTATGCATTATACACACTTCGATCAAATTTATTGATTTTTATGAATATATTTATTTCCAAAACATATGTCTTGGCTGTTAAAATGAAAATATATTACGAACAGAAAATAATAAACAACTAGCTCAAGTTTACGAGGACGTTATTTGTGAAACAACGTAACAACAGTATTCTTAAACATTGAAATTTTATTTAATGCTATGTAAAATAACTCATGGGTGCCCTTATATCTTTCGCAACTACCTAAATTGGCATTGAATATAACGACAGATGGTTTTAAGTCTGAAAATTGACGATTATGGAAGATCTGTGAGAGTGAAGCCCGGTTTTTGAAAAGGATCATTAAGAAAAAATATTTCAGAATTTTCTAAAAAAGTCTTGTTTATTCGTGAAACCCTCGTGCTCTGCTGTCTTATGGCACATAACGACTCTAACGGGGGGGAGAAGAAGCTGTGTTTTATATTTTGGCTTAGAGTTAATGAGAAAAATTGGATAGACAATCGAGTATTATGGATAACTTTCATCTCAGGAATTTATATATTGAATATCGAAGATCACATGGACTTTATTGTTGTATCTCAAGATTATTAGCGATAACTTCAAGAGTAAATGAACTATTCTGGGTTGTTTTTCTATACTGTCTTACAAGTGAAGAATTTGTTTTAACAAGTTGCATTTTACTGCAGCGGAGTAATCATCCGACACACAGAGAACATACAGCAATTTTGTTTTTTGTCTGCAGTATTTTGTTACTTTTTAGGTCTTTTAGTTTATTATTATTACTCTTTAAAAATGATATATACACCACATGACTTCCTTGTACGGAATATTAAATTATACGCATTTTTTCTTGCATTTTGTTTAAACTTACTGGATTGAATTAAATCTACTTCACCGACAGCGCATAAACCACAATAGAATAAATGCATTCTTTGAAATTCACTCTATTTGTTTACCATAGCGACACTCTGGCACTAGGTTCACTTAACAGTATTATATTTCGTTCATATTATAACTCAGAATGCACAAAATTGATATCATTTAAAGAATTATCTAATCGTTTCAACATGTTCTATTCAAATACTATAATAAAGCTAGAACGATGTAAAAAAGAAATTAAGCAAACAAAACAAAAAAGAAACAGTTTTTCACAGACGATTGAGTATTTCTCATTGAATTAATTCAGTTCTCATTTTGCGACAAGGCAAAAATACATAAAAACTCAAAATATCTGTCTTAAAAATTACGAAGTAAATCTTTATTTCCTCGAAAACATTCCAGAAAGGATTAAGCATGATTTAATTGACAATAATAAATGAAGGCGCTATCTTTGTTGTTGCGAAGCTAAGTTTCTCTAGATTGGCAACAAATCCACTACTCTGTTTCAAATGTAAACAAGCAATGACCGCCATCAAAAAAATTATTAGGCTTAGCGGCACTTAAACAACTTTAAAATTTTTGATAATTCTAAAACTATTGCATATAGATTTACTAAAGGCATAAAAACCTTAACCGGAAGATAATAACAACATAATTCAATCATTTTTTTAAAGTAAAAAAATGTTAAATTTACAAGCATATAAGAGTAAAGAAACTGAGATCACAATAAAAAATCTTGAAGTGACTTCGCTTGCTATCTCCAGAAAGAGTGAAGTAAAAGAGGCTGAAATGGGACTTAGAGGAGATGCCATAGTAATAAATGCACTCAATTATCGTTTCGTAGATTTTCCGCAATTTGTTAAAAAATTGATCCTAAAACATTTGTAGAAGAGCAATATAAAAATTAATTTTGTCGTTGTGTTGCCAAGGCAAATGTGTTTCGCATTTTGTTGAATGGAAGTAAAATTATCTGTGCCTTATTAATTTGCAAATTGTTTGTTGAAATTAAATGTATTAAACTTTAATTTTTTTTTTTTTTTTTGTTGTTGTTGTTGTTGTTGTTGTTGTTGTTGTTGTATTGGGATCAAAGAAAAAAAATGGAATCGGATATTCAGTTTGAGTTGTAGTCTCACATAATGCAAAATACTTAGAGATCTACGGTAATTAATTTCCAGCTGTGCGTCCTCCCATGTATTTATTAGTCCAAAGGGGCTTTGTCCCTGAAGGGCTATTGTTTTCTTTTTGCGATTTTGCGTTGAATCATTATAAGTTTCCGTTTCACTTTTCAAACTGTTGCCACCAAATGCTAGAATCCTGCATTATATTTGAAGAAATTAAATAATGGTTTGGTTTTGGTTTATTAAATTACGTCAAAGCACTCGTGGGCTATCTGCCTTAAGGGAGGGATGCCTTCGTGGAGGACTTTTTAAGAGAAACTGGCTCTTATACACGTTACACATGGGAAAAACCACGAAAACACCCATGCAGCCAGCGGGATTCGAACCTCGAACCGAACTACCAGTGTTTAATGACGTTACCCGCTCGGCCCGCTGGTGGGCCGAAATTAAATAATGAAAAATATGCATGAATGTATGTATGTTTTTCGCATTGTGATAAAACAACGGTACATAGAGGTATCGAATTTTGAATGACGTCATCCTCCTATGAATATGGGCATGTGGAAGACCGAATTGGAAATTTGGAATTTGTTTCATTATCGATTTCATATTTTGTAAAACTTTAACGAACTTTTGATCAACAAACTCAAGGTTTTCAAAGCGAGCAATGGCGACACTCTACGGGGGGATGGCGAACCTTTTTATCTCCAGCGCGCGGAACTGTGTATCGGAAATTCTAAAGATAGGCTCATTTTAAAATTATTTTGCGACTTTGCTATTGACCTGAATTTTATGGTTTAAGTGCAAAGAACATGATATTTAATAAATAAAGATAACACACAAAACGTTAAAAAAACGCCTCTTTGGACATAATTTAAAATCTGAAACCTTTCAGATTTTTTTAAATATTTATTGTTTATTATTATATATTTTATTAATGCAATTAAATACATTCAAGTTTCATCTTTAAATTAGCTTTCTTCGTTCCAGATGGTGTGGTACAGCACTCATAAAGTAGGATGTGGCTTTAACTATTGTGAGGCCAACAATGTTACGAAATTTCCCTATTACAGCTACGTGTGCAATTACTGTCCCATGTAAGTGCATTTCTTAGTTTATTTGACGTGAAACAGTTTTATACGGTATTGTTTTACTCATTTAGAATTATTCTAAAACTCCGCTGTATTAAAGCAGGCGATCTTACATTGAGAATGTTGCAAATGGAATGCAAGCAATTATCTCTTTTGCATAAAATTCAATCTTCTGAAGTGTAGAAGATTCAGTTTGTCGAACTAATAATGTAATATAGACAAGAAAAAGTTCCAAATCCAACTGTTACGAAGACAGTGACCAGCGATGTTAGAAGAAAAGGAAAAGAATACGTAGCTCTGAATTTACATTATTTATTTCCTTACGAAATAGGAATACTTTTCTAACATAGCTATGTTTAATGGTATTAATTATTCGGCATTTTAGATATTTAAACTCAACTGAAATTAATTTTTAATTAGTTTTCGATATTTCCGTCTTGAAGCATTAAAATTGTAAAAGAATTATTTTTCATATTTTTAGAAAGCTGAAGACATCTACAGCTTGAAGTTTATGGTGATTTAAAAAATCTGATGTGTACACCATATGACTTCCTTGTACGGAATATTAAATTATACGCATTTTTTCTTGCATTTCATTTAAACTTATTGGATTGAATTTAATCTACTTCGCCGACAGCGCATAAACCACAATAGAATAAATGCATTCTTTAAAACTCACTCTAGTATTTGTTTACCATAGCGACACTCTGGCGCTAGATTCACTTAACAGTATTATACTTCGTTCATATTATAACTCATAATGCACAAAATTTATATCATTTAAAGAATAGAATTATCTAATCGTTGCCACGTGTTCTATTCAAATACTATAATAAAGCTAGAACGATGTATAAAAGAAATTAAGCAAACAAAACAAAAAAGAAACAGTTTTCCACAGACGATGGAGTATTTCTCGTTCACAGTTAATTCAGTTTCTCACTTAGCGATAAAGGCAAAAATACATAAAAACTCAAAATATCTGTGTTCAAAATTACGAAAGTAAATCTTAAACACTTATTTCCTTCGCAAAAATTCCAGAATGGATTAAGCATGATTTAATTGGCAATAATAAAATGAAGACGTTATTATCTTTGTTGTTGCGAAGCTTACGTTTCTCTTAGATTGGCAACACATCCACTATTTCTGCTAAGTTTCAACTGTAAACATACAATGGCCGCCATCGTAAGAAATAGGATTAGACTTAGCCGGCACTTAAACAACTTTAAAATTGTTGATAATTCTAAAAATATTGCATAGAGATTTACTAAAGGCATAAAAACCCTAACCGGAAGATAAAAACATCATAATTCAATCATTTTAAAGCAAAAAATGTACAATTTACAAACATACAAGAGTAAAGAAACTGAGATCACTGAGCCGGGTAACAGAGTGGATATATATAAAAATATATTTATATACGTTTGGTGCGGCCGATTGTAACCAAAATACGAGGTGCACGTCTACATGTTATAGCAGTCCTATATACAAAATTTCAACGTTCTGGGGCTACTCGTTTTTGAGTTATGCGAGATACGTACGTACATACGTTCGTACAGACGCCACGAAAAATTCTCTTCAAAATTAATTTTAAAGCAGTTTTATAATTTTTTTGAAGGAAAAGAGTCTTTTATTCTGTCCTTACGTACAGATATCACGCAAAAATATCATTAAACTGCATTCGATAGCGGTCAAAATGTATATTTTCGTTGAAATATTCTGCCTGAAACTTTTCGCGATTACAATACTTCCTTTTTACTTCGTACAAGGAAGCAAAAAAAGAAAAAGTGGTTTTAACAGAAAGTATTGAAAGGCTATTTACATTCAAAAAAATCTTTCTGTTCTAGTTAACGATCCTAATTCCAATCCATCTTTGCCTTCCGCCTTTAAAGAAATTATGCTTTAGTTGTGGTTTCACCAACAGATGGCGCCACTAGCTTATTTTCTGTCCAGGATTTCTTATCTTATCTGATCATTATGTCCTATCTCGTTCATTTGTGCTTTTGCAGCTGACGATGGTGGTTCGGTAAAACCATCGAAACTTGCCCTGTGAAAATTTGAAAATATTACGCTGATTTTTGTTGTTTGACTTCTGAATTAGTATTTATACGATTATTAAAAGAGATTTCGAATGCCATATATTACGTATCGCATTATATATATATAAATATATGTATGTTTGAACGAACTGCGTATTGCACAATTAATTATTTTTTAATCTAATGCTTTAAGATTTTTTATTCAACTGACTGAAAATACATTCAGAAACTAATAATTTTATTGCCTAGAGCAAAGATTATTTAGCGATAATTGTGTACTATGGCAAGGTTATGCAAACGTAACATGTAGACTTGAGTAAATATATGTATTTTTTAAATTTTATTAGTAATAAATGATATTTCTCTGTTCTAGGGGCATGGTGGTTTTAATTGCGTTTTCCAGTACTTATTCTTTTATATCTTTTGTTTTTTTTAATTGCGAATTGTCTTTTATTTCTAATGTATTTACAGCTACTGCCAATTTAAAAAAACTCTGATGTGTACACTACATGACTTCCTTGTACGGCCTAATAAATTATACACATGTTTTGCTGTGCTTTATTTAAATTTAGTTCCCCTAATTATTCTAATTTAATTAAACTAACTCTCAAGGTAGGTTGGAAATGACATCAAAAGTTGTGAATTTTAAAATTAAACATCCGGTGTGTTTTTGTCGTACGGTAGTCAAACTTCTTATGATTCTGTTTTTTCATAGCGAATATGAAACTGTCAGAAATATAAGTATCGGAAATGCGAAATCGTATTAAAAAGATTTCTTTATTTGTCGAAAACGAATTTTATTTTAAATTTGACATTACCAAAATATGAATATTTTCGTCATTTTAAACAACTTACGTAATTGGAAATATATGATTACCCCAATGATTGAAAAAAATTCCTTTTTGAATCCATTTTAAATCATTTTTTTTTTTTTAAGTACTGTCCTTTATTCTGTCCGTGCATACGGTCGTTAAACAAAAAATTCTTTTAAATGGTTTCGAGAACAGTCAAAAGGGATGTTTCCTTTGAAATAGGATATCTGAAAATTTTCGCAGTTGCAGTACTTACTTTAGCTTCGTACAAGAAAGTAAGAAAGGTCCCAGAATCTAAATCACCTTTTGGAGCGATTAGTTTATAAGGTATTTCTCCCACTTCCCTAGCGTGCCTTCGTGGTGTAACGGTAGCACGCTGGGCCTGTATCCAGACGTCCGTGGTTCGATTCCCGGCCAAGGCAGTTGCATATTTTTCATTTTTTCTGCTTCCAATTAACCTAATGACTCTACAAGTGGTGCCCGAACTAAAAGGGTTGTGGATGATAATTCTCCGCACCCGGGATTTGGCGACTGGGTCCCCTAAAACCGTAGTCGCCCTTTAAGAAGGGGAGTATATAAGGTATTTCTCCCAATTTCCTAGCCTGCCTTCGTGGTGTAACGGTAGCACGCTGAGCCGGTATCCAGAGGTCCGTGGTTCGATTCCCGGCGAAGGCGGTTGCATATTTTTCATCTTTTCTGCTTCCAATTAACCTAATGACTCTACAAGTTTACCATTTTGCTTCAAATACACTCTTTTGCAAAAAAAAATCGAATCACTAAGAAGAACTTTTGCGAACGTGACGAATTTTGGTATGCAAAAACATCTTGATCGAATATGCAAATGATCAAACTTTCAAGGCAAATGAACAAGAATTGCGATCGTAGCGCGCATTTCTAATGCGCAATTCGTAAAATATAAAACCAGTTAAGAAAAACAGTTTTTTTTTTTTTTTTTTTTTTTTTTTTTAGTCCAAAGGGACTTGAGTCCCGAAGGACTATTGCTTTCGTTTTGGCATTTTGCGTCGGACTCCTATAAATGTCGGTTCACTTTTCAAACTGTTGCCATAAAATGTTAGAGTCCTGCATTATATTTGAAGAAATTAAATAATGAAAATCTGCGTAAATGTATGTATATTTCTCACATTGTCATAAAATAACGGTACATAGCGTCATCGAATTTTGAATAACGTAATCCTCCAACGAATATGAGCATGTGGAAGACCCAATTTGAAATTTGGAATTTGTTTTATGATCGATTTCCTATTTTTTAAAACTTTGACGAATTTTTGATTAACAAACTCAAGGATTTCAAAGCGAGCAATGGCAACGTTGTGCAGAAAAAACATATCTCCAGCGCGTGAGTCTCTGTATCGGAAATTCTAAAGATATGCTCGTTTTAAAACTATTTTGCAATATTGCTGTTGCACTGGATCTTATGGTTTAAGTGCGAAGAACATGATATTTAATAAAGAAAGGTAACACACAAAATGTTAAAAAACGCCCCTTTGGACGTAATTTAAAATCTGAAACATTTCAGATTTTGTCCCTTTTTTTTTTTTTTTTTTTTTTTTTTTTTTTTTTTTTTTTTTACTGCTGCCATTGTAATTTCGGAAAGAAGCAACTAAAGATGCCATTACGACGATACCGAACGGTCCCAATCAGCCTTTGTTTGACAAAGGCATAACCCCTGTTGTTATGGTGCGAGGCGCTATTTTTTATGACAGCAGATCATCTTTAGTCATCCTCTGTACATCTTTAACAGCTCAACGATATGTTGATACCATCCTTCGGCCGGTTGCATTACCCTTCATGGCACGTCACCCTGGGGCCATTTTCCAAAAAGGTAATGCCAGGCCACATACAGCTCGCATATCTCTGGACTGTCTTCGTGCGGTTGACACTCTTCCTTGTCCAGCAAGGTCACCGGACCTTTCACCAATCGAGTATATTTGGGGCATGGCAGGCCGCAAAATTCGGGCACTACAAAATATCGCGGATCAGAAGCGACAACTAATAAAATGCATGGCAGAATGTGTCGCAGGATGACATTAGGAACCTCTACCACTCCTTGCATCGAGGAATTCAAACATGCATTGCCGCCAGGGGCGGTTCGACCAACTATTGATTTGAACACTCAATGGGTGATTGTGAGCCATGAACAGGTACTATGACCTTGATTTTTAATTACTTTATTATCTGTGTATGAGCTATACACATATTCAATTTCATCAAAAACTACCACTTCCTTCATGGTGCTTCAAGGTTTTTGCAAAAGAGTGCATTTCCTAAATTTATTATTACAATTATAAATCAAATGTGTGCAAATGATAATATATTTTAAATATTATGTGAAAATAATAAATGCTTTGTCAGAGTAAAAAATTTAATCGGCTCAAAGTTTCTGAAGTAGGAAGCAATAGATTTAAGATTATTTGTTTCTTGGATATAAATACAGCTTCGATTTTTTCATTTCTTCCTCTCTTTTCCAGTGCTTACAGGTTTTTAAACCCGAAACATAAATCTGAAAGTTTGTTCAAATTAAAAGGTGTCGCCAATGCTCTCATTAGATATGCAATGGAAAATTATTTTAAATATAGTTTAATTTTGAAATGCTGCTGGGGGAAAAATAGTTCCATGTAGAAAGGATTTCACATCACGCGGAAAAGAATGACTTGGCCTCCATCTATTTAACGAGTGTGCTGTCTGAAAATGGAATTGCAAATCTACATTATAAAAGAATATTTACATGTACAGAGAAAATTTCATTTCACAAAAATTTTGCCCGTAAATGGAATGGGCATTACTTTTAAAGGGGTGAAATCCTGTTGAAGAATGGAGAATCTGACAAATTGATTATTACGTCTGAATTCAGGGGACCGATGATTGGTATGCGCAGTTTCCAGAGCTGAAACATTATTTTCTGGTAGCATGCTCATAAAACAGAACTGTTATCCGATTGGTGTGGAACCGTTATTACACATCACATTATTACGCATTATTACAGTCCTTAGCACAACATTCATAGTAGCAAGGAGTCAAAAGTGCTGTCGTTGGCAAGAGCTTTCAGCACCATACAGGAACAATCTGACTTCAGCAGATATCAATACCTCTAATTCTAAGTGAACTAACAGTTACCCTAGTAACTGTTAGTTCACTTATAGGTATTGATATCTGCTTTGCTTATGTGCGCGCTCATCATCGTTTCTACGGAAATGAAAGAGCTGATTTCTTAGCTAAAGATGCCTTAAATTTACCCATTGATATCAACATTAGCATTCCAAAGAGTTATTGGAAGTCCTTTCATTATAAAAAGCTTTTAGATATGTGGAATGAGGAATACATTTCATCTTGTAATGCTGAAGTCACAAAAATGTTCCTTACTTCTATTTACCATAAATTGAATTCCGAGTCTTCCTCTCGTTAAATTTTAAAGTGTCTCAGTTTTTATCTGTTCACGGTAAATTTGCAAGTTACCTATTTTGTTTTAATCTACGATCAAACAATTTATGTGAATGTTCAAAAAGAGTTCCTCAGGATGTGGAACATTTGATTTTCTCATGCCCTACATTCGATGGCCCTAGATTATGCTTACAGAATGATTTGAAAATGTTCGGAGGGACTTGGCCAGTGAACTTATCCGTTTTCGTGAAGTCCAGACTGCTGTTCTCTGCTTTTGTTCGCTTTATTTATGCATGGAACTTTTAATGTTTATTTATGCATGTAACTTTTAATGTTTTAGTTAACTTACTTCTGTAAGCCCCGTGTTGTACATTTGTGGTGCACGGGGAGTCTGTATGTTCTCAAAGGGAAAAAAAAAATCTGACTTCAGCTCAGTTTCGCCCCCCCTCCTCCAATTTTGAGAGAAAGTACCCCAGGGGGGACGGGTTCGAAGGTCTCCAGCCCTTCTTACCCTACCCTCAACCTCATAGAGGCTTTTCTGCTCGCCGCGTATTTAGAGTGCCCTCATGCCGCACAGACACTATACATTTACAAATATTCATGCCTTCTCCGGTATTCGAACCCAAGGCCCTTCGGTACGGCAGTCAGAGTCACTAACCAATATCCCGGAGCGCAGACTCTAAAATCTTTATCTAATACATCGAGCAACGTTTACCAAAAGCTTTAATATCACAACCCATATGCTTATTAGAATCAACTTATTATGACCTTATCATGACCTTGATCCATATATGCACACAGTTGTTCTTACGTGTAATGATAATAATATAATTATGGGTTTATATATGATGTAATGAAAACTAATAAAAATTTAATACAAGCAATCAGTATAAATGAATTAATAGTTAAAATTTCATTAATGATTTGCAGAAAATATAGGTAGTTATGTAACCAAACGCTAAAATTTCAAAACCTTTCGGGAACCACATTTGGGGAGCCACTGGTTATAGTGAAGATCGGTAAAGTGTAGCAAAATTTTGCCTTGCATTTTCATTCATTCTTTATCTATGAATTTTGGGAAAATATTATGCTGACCTCTCTTTTTTAAGTGCAGAATATTCTTCAAGAAATAATTTTAGTGCTTGAAAGGTGTGGTGTATTTTATTATGGCAAAGCACACTAGGGCTATCTGCCTAAGGGGAGGGATGCCTTCGTGGAGGACTTTCTAAGGGAAACTGGCTCGTATACACGTTACACATGGGGAAAACCACGAAAACGCTCATGCAGGCAGCCCGTTCGCGGGATTCGAACCTCGGACCTCGGACCGAACTACCAGTGTTCAGCGACTTTACCGCTCTCCGCTGGTGGGCCCTTTAGTGCTTGAAAAAAGAGAAAATATTTCCAAAAAAAGGAATTCTAAATTAATTGGAATTGTAACTAGTGCCAACTTTCGCCATTAATTGATAACAAGCTCTCGAGCTCTTAAAAGAAAAAGAATTAATCAGTTCAGCATTTTAGGGTTTGTATTACATTTATACATAGCATCGTTCTAATATAGGTATTTTGACACAAAATCGGACTTTTTCTAAAATAACATACCATTTTTTTTTTCTATATTTCGATTCTACGACTCAAATTACGCCAAACTACCAAGATTTGTAAAAGTCGCACGAGTAGTTTTTAAAAAATTATGTCTCAAAAGTTTAGCTCCTCAATGTTAATTGAGTTTGGCATATATTAATTAATCTCCCCTTTTTTTAATTAAACTTATTTTATTCTTCCTTTCACATATCGAAATTCAGGTTCATTTCAAATAAAATTCACCCATTTTTTATGATTTATTTTTAAAATTTGTATTTTAAAATAATATCTATAAATTTTCCAAAAACATTTTTGAATTATAATCTGTAAACGTTTTACCATCATCTTAAAGTAAACGTACTTCTAATCATACCTGCAAAAAATTGCAGTTTTTTATTCAAAATTTCCGAAGATATACGTGAATTTATAAATTGCCCCGTTTTGAAATTTGGCATATTTGTTGAAAGCCAGCAGATGTGGTTTAGACACTTTGCTAAAATTATTTGGAAGTAGAAACGATGTGGCTTTTTTTCTGCTCGTGCACAATGTAAAACGGTAGGAATGAGGTGCCTTTTTTCCCGCTCCGTCATAATGGAAGGGAAAGGAAAATGGGTTGCCACATATTAAGAAGTTCGCCAAGTGAATTATTCTTCGCGCAAACTGAAAAAAATTCGCCAAGATAAATTTTTGAATATCTCGGTAAATTTCGCACCAAATTTTACAAAATTTAATATCTAGGCATAATTTGAATCATAGAATCGAAATATTGTGGAAAAGAATTGGATGTTATTTCAGAAAAAGTCCGATTTTGTGTCAAAATACCTACGTTAGAACGACGCTATATATAAATCTTATATATATATCCTAAGTCGCGCTTTCCAGACATGAAAATCGCAATTTGAATTTTGTCAATCGGCCCAGTAGAACGGGTGATATAGAACTGTTTCTGTTTTTTTTTTTTTTTTTTTTCCCTTTGCGCAGTGTACGTACATTTAAAATTCTGTTGCAACGTACAATGAGTATATATTTACATATAATAAAATGACGATAATTTTATTGCTCAATGAAATTGCACTTTTTGCAGCGGCAATCATCCAGAAAGATTTGATCGTCCGTATCAGAAAGGTGTAGCGTGCTCTGGATGTGAAGGCCATTGCAAATACAAGAACCTTTGCAGTAAGTATCAGAGGTTATGTAATTCTTTAAATGCAGTTTATTTTACTATTTGATGATCTCTTTGGTAAACACTTTGACACTAGCACAATTGGTTTTAGAAAGTTTGAAAGTTTTTATATTTTATTATTTTTATAATATTATTACTAAATAATTTAAGCAAAAATAAACTAGAAAAAAAAAACAAGTTCTTATATCTTTCGATCAAGTGAACTGAAACAAATTCAAGTATATATGACTAACTATCACCTTCAAATATCTATATGAACTATTTAAGATCACTTATATGATCACAAATATTATATATTTCAAGTCTAAGTCTAACTAGTCTAACTATCTTCTTCAAATATTATATGAACTATTTCAAAACTATATCTTCAAATATTATTAAAATTTCAAGTTTAACTACTCTCAAGTCTAACTATCATCTTCAAAACTATCCTCTTCAAAAATATATGAACTATTTCAAGTCTAACTATCACTCTTCAAATATTACTTAACAACTGCGATATACGTTATCACTGATAGCTTAACTAAATAACGAAAGCACGCGAACGCAGATATCTAAATTTTAAGCTTAAAGAGGCAAGCATGCTTGGCTTATATCCAAAATTATAGTTCAGACACTCATACAGCTACGAATTCTTTTCCTAATTTTACATTAAACTGGCCGTATAAATAAGCTCCAGAATAGCGAGTCGTGATGAAATGAATGATACAAAAAAGTTCTAAATTTAATTAAAATTGATTAGGAAAACTCAATTGTAATGCGACAAATTTACTAAAAATAAAAAACATGGATTTTAAACTTCAAATTCTTAGGCATTTATGAGATTATAATTTTTTAGAATAAACATATAAAAATTAAATATGTTATGTTGAAGATACCAAAATATCCAAGAATAAAATAACTGGAGATTTATTTGGTTGTATTTATTTGATTCAATTTCTTGCAATTTGATTTTTCATTTAATTTGTTTTTTTTTTTAATTTTATATCAAAATACTTCATCTATTTTAAGTAAAACAACTGTGGTTTTGCTTCCTTATCTAAGTATACTAACATAAAATTCATTTATACAATCGCTTTGATGCTAACAAAATAGTTAGGAATGATAAACCTTGAACTTTTGTTTCAATGTCCTCAACAAATCTTCAAGTACTAAGATCCTTTCAAAGAAAATTGCAAAGCAAAGAGTAAAGGTTTTACTATCAGATTCTTAAGAGAAGTAGTAAAAGTAGACTCACTTATTCTCTAAAGACGAGCTTGTTCTTCATTAGACACATATTATTAACGCTAATTTGGTTTCCTTGCTAAATTTAACACTTAGATCTTTGATCCTGTTCATTTATCCTACTTCGTGGCTAATTAATTCTTTAAAAAAAGAGAGAGAGAAAGAGAAGTAGACTGAAAAGATAGAATATGTAGTGGGATTCATTTAAAATCAATTTTATCAATATTTTTTTTATTTCAAATTTAAAAAATCTTACATTTCTTCGGATTGGTTTAATATCAGAAGATTCAATTTACTTTCAGAAAATTTTTCAGATTTTCTTACATATTGAAATTATTTATGAAAAAGACGCATGTATCCGAGGTTCGAATCCCGCGGACGGGCTGGCTGCATGGGGCGTTTTCGTGGTTTTCCCCATATGTAACGTATATACGAGCCAGTTTCCCTTAGAAAGTTCTCCACAAAGGCATCCCTCCCCTTAGGCAGATAGCCCCTCGTGTGCTTTGCCATAATTAAATACACCACACCACCTTATTTTTTAAAATGTCAAAATAAATCGTTTGCAGCTTTTTGACTCTAAAGTCTAGCTGTCTAGAAAATTCGATTCGTCTTAAACCAAGAATTATCTCAAAATTATTTATAAACATGTACAAATTACAGAATACAAAGAGTCATCAAATATATACTTTATGCAGTTTTTGAGTTATAAACCCAAATTTTAATACTATTACTGTGAAGATATTGATATCAAACTAAAGTGTAACTAGAGATTGCAATTTCGGACCAAACGTTCAATACCGGTATTCGGTATTTTTTAGATCTTAATACCAGAATACCGGTTTTAATACCGGTAGCAGGAATTTTAGAAAAAGAAAGAAAACACAGCTGTTTCTTTGTTTTATTTGCCAGTTTTATTAAACAGAGTAAATATCACACAAAAAATCATTTATAGCTTACAAATTATAACAGTATATAAAAAATCTCAAAAAAGTAAAGAAACGTATTCAAATCACAAAAAAATGTAAATATCACTATTCAGTCTGTGGTACTATTACAAATTTTTGAAATGTGATCTTAAAAAACATAATGCATCAAATTGTACTGTCATTAAACCTAAAACGTAATTTTGTGTAAAAATTACCAGCTGTCGAAAACGCTTTTTCAGCATCTATGGTAGTTGATGGTACTGTTAGCAATTAGTGATATATATATATATATTTTAGTATTTACCTCTAAATCCCTCATCTTCAAATAAATCAATTTCTCGTCGGATAGTTTTGGATATAACTGATTTCTGTATTGCGATTTGGTTTGTTCAATTTTTTTTAGTTAACGCTAGTCCTAATTTTTTTCAAGAGACAATACCTTTTCACTATCGATAGAAGTGTAAAACACTCGAAATGGCAAACCATGTCATACTGTTATTTTACTTATAATTTCATCCAAATTATGTTTTTTTTTTCCAATAATTTAATAATTTAAAATTCCTGATGGCTTGCGCTTGGAAACTGTGCTTAAATTTGCATCTTCATCGCAATTAGATTCTTCCCTCTTTAACAAATTTGTATCATGTTTCGTTTTGAAATGTGTACGAAGTCCGCTTGTACTTCCTCCATTCACTTTAACAACTCTTGAACATTTTTTACATTGTGCCACCATATTTTTTTCATCATATAAATAATGAAACGAAACCAAACCGAAGTATTATCAACAGATTTTTTATGTTCTTCAGAGTTATTCTTATTCATTATTATGGGCTTATTAACTTTAAGTATATAATGAATCTGAAAAATATTTTGAACCCTAAACTAGGATATGCAAATACAATGTGAATAACAAACTCAGCAATTTAAATACTCACCAATATTGAAATTTTTCAAAACTACAACCTTTTTTTCACAACTACAACCTTGTTTTAGCAGATACGAATATCAGATTACGAATCCTGCGCGTGTGCAGTATCGCTCTAAACTTAACAGGACAGTTTTGGCCCGCCTCTTTGGATGATTCACATATTGTATGATTTTTCTAGATTGTACGATGCAACTTTGTATTCACAGTCTAATTAATTTCGCCTGTTATGGAGGCATAAAAACAAAAACGTATACTATTTTGCTATGTTGGTGACCCCCTGAACATATAGTGGAGACAATTTAAAAGATTTCTAGTAAATACAGAAAAAACGTATTTAAACTTGTGAATACCGGTACAGTACAAAGTCCGTAATTGGGACTACTCGAGACTTCGGCGATTCCGGATTAGGGTTTTTTTTTGGATTATAGATCATCAATTTAAATCTGGTAAGATGGCATGCAGAAATTATACAATTAAAAATATGAAACCGTAATTTATGAAATAAAGAGCAATTATGATCTAAAGGGTATCAAAATTTACAAAAAAAGCTTAATATTTATTTGTTTACTTTATTTAAACATTTCTTTCAATGTAAGTTGTTTAAGTTGCTTCGTTTTTTGTGCTAATACTTTCTCTTTAATTCTTTCTTCTAGAAACAGTCGCATGCGTAAACGTATTATGCGCATGCGTATGCATTTACGCATGCGCATAAAGTGTGTAGTTTTGAGGTCCGGATTATAGATCATTCCGGATTCCGGATTATGGTCCGAATTAAAGACTTTGTACTGTATTACAAAATTGTACAAATCTCTCAAAATACCGGTATACCGATATTACAGTCCCTAGGTGTAATACGGTGGAGCGAAAAAAACTTTTTTTTTTAAATTCATGTTGCCTGTGGCACCTCAAGTGAATGTTTGTACTGACGTTTTCAACGGTTTTAAGCTTTTTTCATTGATTTTTTTTGTAAAAAAAACGCCATTATTAGTGCGATAAATTGCTGTCCACAGCAAATGTAATGACAAAATATGCTACTAGGTGCCAAAACGGATTCTAAACTGAGTATTGATTCTTAGCTTGGGATAAGCAATCACGTTCCTTCCATGCTCTTTCAACGACTTTTTATTGTTAATTAGTTGGATGTCCTGTGTGTTTTTATCAGTCAGTCATTGTTTATGTTGGACTAAGATGACGTGAATTAAAAGTGCATCTTTTTGTAATGCTTTTGGAACGCCAGTACATTTGGTAGACAGTTTTGCCCGCGTATGCTGATGCAATGAAGCATTTCCTTTGGGTCGGAAATGAGTTATTGTAGAAAGGAAACAAGAAAAATCCGTCTGTCAAGAAAATTAACGAAATCGTTTCCCGTGACATTTCAAAAATTTGGAAGAAAAGCTCCATACGTCAGGTAAGTCAACAAGAAATTATTCATCTTATAAGAAATTACAATGAAAAGTACCAAAACGTAAAAAGAATACCAAAATCTCGGAAAGGGGCTGATAAAACTTAGAAAGATTTCTTCGATCATGCAAACAGTATTTTGTTTGATATTTTTGCATGCAAATGTTTGAATTACGAACAATGTAAATGTTGCGTGAAGATTCCAAGCATAGATATAAATTTCTTAACAGACCAACGGCATAAAAGAAAAATGTCCGGTTTGTCGATCGATGTTTCTGAAAGCCGAAAACTGCAAGGTATGAAGAGAAAGACAACAAAAAAGGAAAAATCGGGAATCTAAAGCAAGACCATGTAAAAATAATGTGTGTTTTTCTATGACGATTACAGACTTAGAAGCGAATGCCATCTTAGTGTCTGATTCGGAAATAATCCCTGAAAATGATGACGACCATTACATTAGACAAGAAGCCAAACGACTGAAAGCAACTGTCAACCTCCAATGCAAGCCAAAGTA